TACCTCACTTGGCTCACCTGCTTGCCCTCCACCAGGTGTGCAGATACCTTGCTCCATGCCCCTGCACCTGCTGGGCCAGGCCTGCCCCCAGGTGGACGTAGGGGAAATTGCATGTAGGTGGAGCAGGGCCCGTCCACCCCATTTCCCAATTGTCTCTTGAAGTGTCCCCCCAGGCCATCCAGGGGCTGGGGCCTCGGACTCAGGCCTGGCACCCAGGCCCCCTCTCCTGTGCGGGTTCCACAGGGACCCCCTCGAGCTCGCCCTGGGCCCCAGGCAGGAGTGGCTTCGCATCAGTGTTTGGTGGACGTGGGTCAGGTCAGGGCTCCAGCCCTCGCACTGGCTTCCCAGACCTGGACACCTACGTGACGGGGCCTGGCTTCCTTCTGGTCTGTGAGGGTCTCGTCCGGAGCGGCCACCTCTGACCTTCTGATAGCACCCCCGGTTGCTCCCCATTTCCCAGGCCTCATAGCACCTTCCCCGCCTGAGCCAGGATTCGTTCGCTCTCTTGTTGATCAGGCAGGGGTCTGTAGGGCTGTCTCACGGCGATGTCCCCAGCACGGACCAGGTACAAAGTCTAAAGTGGGTGCACGTGGTTTCCGAAACGGCCCCTGCCTCGGGGACCCTTGCAGCAATGGGTGTGCTGGTCTGGGGTCACCCTGAGCATCCCGTCGTGCCGAAATGCCGCAGGAGCCTGCCCCAGGCAGGGCTGGGGAGCACTGGGTGTGCCTGTCCCCGTCCACCGCCCAGCGCATCTCCATCCACCAGGGCGAGTGGCTCTCAGCTTCCTGCTTCTGTTCCTGTTTGCAGGGCTGTCCCTGCCGTCCCCAGCCCAGCTCGCCAGCATCAGCTGCCCATGGTGCATGTGTGTGGGGGGGGTGGTCAGTCTCGGCTAGAACCCAGGTCGCCGGCCGTTGCTCCGGGATGGCTGCCCAGCCCCGCCCTCTCCTGGGGCAGGTCTAGGAGGGGAGCGGGGCACCTGCCGGCCTGTGCCCTGTCCCTTCGGCCGGCCTCCCTGCCCTTGCAGCCTCCCACAGAACCGGCTGCGGCATCCGAACGTTAGCATCAGCCCCTTTGCTCGGAGCCCTCGGCCTCCCCCTCCTCTCATCCCTTTGTCCTGTTCTGGGAGGAGGGTGCAGAGTCAGCAGGACCCAGAGGCTCTGCCCAGAGCCCTTTGTCCTTCTGCACAAAGGGTTGGAGCCCCGGGGGGCGGGGCGGGTCCGGAGCCTGGGGCAGGGCCTGCTGATGCGAGCTGGGGGAGGCAGAGGCCTGCGAGGGCCTGGCCAGCACAGGGGATCGGCCGGGGAGGTGGGCAGGACAGGGGCTGGGGGGCCATGTTGACCACCTTCACGCCCGCTCCCGCCGTGACTGGCAAGCTCTGAGCGGTGTGTTTTCACGACCTCCACTGGTTAGGCATCGCATTCCCTAGAGGACAGCCAGGGCCTGCAGGCGGGGGAGTCCCAGCTGCCCCCCACGCCCCATGCCTTGCTGGCAGCAGCCCAGCTAGAAGGGGTCCCAGGCCGCCTGCCGCTGCCAGGAGGCTTGAGGCGGGATAGTCACAGCTCTGCGTGGTCCATTCTGTCAGTGGCCCCAGGGTCTGCTCAGAAGCCATGCAGGGACCACTCTGGGGTCCCCCTCGGCCAAGGGAAGGAGAGCGGTGGGCAGGTGGCCAGCAGGTTAGGGCCCTGGGCAGGGAGGGGCCGCCAGGGTCCAAGAGGATTGGCGCCCATTTGCACTGCCCAGACAGGTCTGAGCACTCGGGGACAAGCGGGGGGACAGCGTGTCAGCAGGACTCCCGCTGTGACGGTGGGGTGACAGGCCCCCAGGGGGGTACACGCGGCCATCTCCCACCTTGGGCCCTGCTCCTGGGGTTCCCCTCAGGTGCGCGTGGCCAGTGATGAGGGCCGGAGCTGGGAGGGGACCGAGGGCCCAGTCGGGGAGCTGCTTCAGCCACGTGGGAATTACACGGATGACAGCACCCACAGACACCGGGACGCAGGGACAGCCAGGGTCCCACATCGGAGCCCCCAGGGGGCTGGAGAGGGCGGGGTGGGAGAGCACCCAAGGACAGCCTGGCCTTTGACCCCATCCATGCGCCCTCCGGTCCTCGTGCTGGAGGCAGCATCACCTCGGGCATCACTGGGGTGAGCTTGAACCCCGACTGACCGCTGCCAGGCCCCGTCTGTGTGGGGCCTCACCGAAGCCCCACCACAGCGACCCCGCGAGGCGGGCCGACCGTAGCCCTGTGTTCCAGACAGGGAGGCTGAGGCTCAGGAGTTTGGGTGTCGTCCGGTCACCGCCAGAAGGTGGCAAAGCCAGGATCTGAGCTGGGTCCCCGCACAGCACTGGCCTCTGTGACCTGCCCCAGCCCTGGGCCCTCTCCCCCCAGGGAGCGAGCATCCCCAGGTTGGCAGGTTGGACGGGCTCAGCCGGGGCCAGCGCACGGTGACGCAGCTCCCCCTGCCGCCAGGTGCTGCCCGCCTGTCCGGCCCATGGCACAAGGGGCGTCCTCGGCCCCCGCTCTGAGGAGGGGGCCGACCTGTCCTGCAGGTGACCCAGGAGGCTCTTTGAGGAGCGGAGAGCGCCCAGGGAGCGAGCATCCCCAGGTTGGCAGGTTGGACGGGCTCAGCCGGGGCCAGCGCACGGTGACGCAGCTCCCCCTGCCGCCAGGTGCTGCCCGCCTGTCCGGCCCATGGCACAAGGGGCGTCCTCGGCCCCCGCTCTGAGGAGGGGGCCGACCTGTCCTGCGGGTGACCCAGGAGGCTCTTTGAGGAGCGGAGAGTGGCAGGGACAAGAGGTGGCTCGCGGCCCCGCTCCTCGGGGCCACCTGGGAGAGGATCAGGGGCCTGCCCTGGGCGCCCGCCTGGGCCCTGGTGGAGGTGCAAAGGGGGCCCTGCCACTTACATGCGCCAAGTGGCCTTGGCCCGTGCTTAGCTGTCCTTGTCCTCTGTTTCCTCCTGCATGAACTGGGCCATGCCGATGCCACCTCTCGGGTTTTGGGGACATCTCGGGGTTTGGGGGCCTCTTGGGGCCGTGTTTACAAAGACGCAGTGGTGCCTGGCGCATGCAGTCGGCGAATGCCGGCCGATGCCAGCTACCGGGTTCTGCTCGGGCAGGGCCGACACTTAGCCGGTGACTCTGCACCAAGAGCCCAGGGAGAATGGGGCCCGGCCACCAGGTCCCCGGGAGGTGACAGGAGATGAGGAGGTCGAGCGGAGAGGAGCTCTGCGGAGGGGCGGGCCCTGGGCTCACGTCGGTCCTGGCCGCCTGGCCACTGGGAGCCTCGGTCTCCTCCTCTGTAAAGGGAGCACTGCCCCCTCGCAGCTGTGGAGGGAGGGGTGCCACGGCCTGCGGCTCGTGCAAGAGCGTGGCCCCGGAGGCCTCCCCTCGACCCGCTCCGCTGAGAGCAGGAGGTAGTGAGCCCGGAACCTCGGCCCTCACCCCACGTGGAGGAGGGCCTCACTCCTGCCGCCTTCCCCGATGATCTCCCCGGCAGAGGCTGGGCCCTGCTCCTGCGACACAGGCCATCTGTTAGCGGTGTGCAGGGGTGGGGTGCGCCTGGCACCAGGCGGAGTAGCCAAGATGCTGACCCAGGGCTCTGCGTCCAGGGTCCTGGGTGGGAGTGTGGTGGAGCCCACAGGCACCCATGCTGAGTGTGCAGGACGCCCTGGCTGTGTCGAATGAGGGGGGCGGCAGAGGCTCCGTGGGCGCCCTGGGCCATGGCCAGGGGTCAAGGAGGGGCTCCATGCCGGAGGTGCCCAGAGCGGGCTCCGCAGGGCGCTCGGCAGAGGCACAGCCTGCAGAGATGGCGGGCCAGGGTCAGCGCCGTGCACCGGCCAGAGCGAGCCTCGGCCCTGGCGAGACATCCGGCCTGGGATGTCCCCCGCTCCTGCCGGACGCCCCGAGCGCCTGGTCCCTGCACCTGCAGGCGGGCCAGCTCCCGCAGCGACAGCCGTGCCGTCACCCGGTGCCTGGGTCCCCTGCCGCTGCTCTGAGTCATGTGTGCCCTGCGTTTGTATTTAGAGAGCGGAGCAGATGGTGGGTGCAGTAACACTTTAAATTAAGGATTCCAAAAGCACATTAAATTTAGATTTAATAAGACAGTTACTGTATGGAAATTAGAGACCCATCGACTGCTCTCCAAGCGCTGAGGTCCAATCCCGCATCCTCTTGATGGCGCGAGTTCACCTGAGTGTGTTGGGGGCGTGTGGGGAGCGGGCTGGCTCCCCCGCCCTGGCCCATGGCCACCGGCCTTGCTGGACCTTCAGTTTCTGAAGCCCTGTCCCTCGGTCCTCCCTCCAGAGCTCACAGAAGCCCTGGTGGTTGAGCCCCACGCAGGCCAGGTGCATCCTGGGGCTGGCCTGGCGGGCGTCATGGAATCTTCCAGAAGCCGGTCTTACTTTGTCCACTTTGCAGGAAAGGAAGCTGAGGCTCAGAGAGGGAAGGGACTGGTCCGATCGGGTGGTGCCTGGTGCGGATGGTGGTGCTGGTCTTGAGGGGCTGGGGGAGGGAAGGGGGGAGGGAAGTTTTTTTTGCCTGGTGAGAAAAACCCCTGAAAGGGGCAGTAGCTTCCTCTCCTAGGCCCCCCCCCCACAGACCCGCCCACCTGGTGGGGGTTGGGAAAGGGTGATTCCAGGAGCAGGCTCACCCCCCACAGCCCTGCCAATCAACCCGTCTCAGCCCCCAGCACCCCCAAACCAGGGGCCGGAAGATGCTAAGTGCATGATGATCTCTT